TCGATAGCCATCTATTTGATCGCATGCCAACACAAACCGCTGAAAAAACAAGCGTTAAGTTTAACAACATTCGCAGCCATACGGTACACACTACAGCAGGTCAAAGTAAAACGTAACAGATCGTCCGAATTACTTCGTTAACGTGTGAAAGCATCTCGCGTCAATCGGATCACTTACTGCAGAAACTGATCTTCTCAATGGTGTGCGCGTCCATGGCCTTTGATAGGATACTCCAGATTCCACGGAACACGAACGGGGCGTTTACGATCCAAACACGACACAGCACCTCTGGCATGCACTTGTTCAACAAATTGACGAGCTCCAGTAGCATAGACATGTTAACGTTCTTGAACAGAGAGAGGCCTTCTAAATCTACTATGCACGTGAAGCTCTCGCTCTCAGGACACAGTCTTTTCACCTGTGTGTGTAAGGTAGATAACATGACAAATATTCAAAACGGGAACTCCATAAAAAAGGCGATTCTACGTGCACTTCTCTGCATAGTTACTCTCAAGTGTGATTTGTATACGAATAGATCCAAAGCCAGACCAACGCTTGAGTGAGTGTTACAGCTCTGTTTAGTACACGAGTTAATTCAGCGTTCCAGTCGTCTTCATATGTTTCCACATTCATGTGGTGGAAAAGTATAACTCAGGACGAATTTGGTGGCCATTTTTTCACCTTGCACGCAGCTCCACCATCACTCACTTTGACTTAGGTTTGAACAAAAGGTCGACACACATACACACACATATATATATATATAATTGTATATCTCTTGAGATTATGTCGAATAGGTTGTGTGTATATGCTGATATAGCACGGACTCACCCGATCGCAGTTGTGGATTAACATCTTCTGCAGCTGAGGAATGGACATTTGCTTCACATCCAGGTTCTTCACTGGGGTGATAAAGATGGGTGTATTGTCTCTCGCACGCCCGTGGTAGTAGAAGGTGCCCTGGGTAGGGTACGTTAAAAGTTCAACTAGGTTAGCAAAGAAGTAGTCTACAGCGTGGAACTGCAATCTTGATCCTAATACAAACATCGTTCATGATTGATCTAGCACGCTATGAGCTAGGCAGTAGATCCTCAATAGTGTGGTCAACATCACGACATACAAGAGAAGCGTCCTCTGCTGTAACGCTACCTAGCACATGCACACCCTGAGCCCTTGATATACACAGGCACTCTACTTCAGACGCTACTACTAACGACTCGACACCAATTCCTGAGACACGAACACACACACACACTCAAGCAGCACACACAAGCACAGACACACGCCGACGTAGATAATAATAATAAAACAGCGAAGCACATAGTGCGGAAACAGATAAGAATAGCGGTCACATACAGAGTGTGCGTAAATACATAGTAAGCTATCAAGCTATGTAACGTAGCACACCTACCTGTTCAACACCAAATTTCCAACTGTCACTTCGTTGCGTGGTCATTGATACAGTGCATACAAACAGGATCACGCACACGGATACATAAGCTCAATCACACTGCTCCTTTATTTGGGGATATCTGACGTAGGTCCACACACCCAGCATAAATGTCACGTTTACATACACGGAAGCTAGACAATGTGAAACTATATGCTCATACGTACACAGATATACATGCGCATATTCATCTATATACACAAACTTACCATTCGGATAATAACGGCCAATTCTTCATCGGTCGCAGGGGATATTTCTCTGCGGTACCTTAAGTCATCGTCTCGCATTGTAATAGCGTCTTTAAGTACATATTTACGAGCCACCAGAAACCGGCGTAGAGTCACATCATTTTCATCTGGGTATTTTTCACGCATCTGTATAAGAAGTGGATAATTTAGCAGTGGGAAAGTAGAGAGCAATACCATAGCAGACTAGGGCACACAGGGATTGATTTTAACCACCTCATAAGTAGGTGATTAAAAAATTGAAACTAAAGTTATAATCATATTGCAAAAGTAGGAAAACAAAGTTCGACCATACTAGTCCACGATGCTAAAGTGTATCGTACTTTCACTCACATGAGCACACTCCGCCTGTATCGTGGGACTCTTCGGATACTCCGGATAGATTACTGTACACTTGTTGTGAGTGCCAGATCACTGGAACCAAACACACACACACATATATATATATATATATATACATACATACATACATACATACATACACTACATTATTCACTAACATTCGACAGACACTTAAGTTTTACAAGAACTGCACACCCTTTCCCGCTTACATTGTCAATCTTGACACACACAGAAACACGCAGCCGATCGCGAAGGTGCATGAAACTACTCACACGACGCAACGAAATGCCGCAAACGCAAACACCTGTGACATTTACCTTCAGTGACATCAATATCTCTAGGATTGGCTACCTGCACATCCAATATATATATATATATATATATGTATGTATGTATATATATATATATATATATATATATATATATATATGTGTGTGTGTGTGTGTGTGTGTGTGTGTGTGTG